CCTCCAAGATCTTGCCTTGTTTTTTTCCTCTATTTTTTTTTAGCTTAAAAGTCACTATTAGTCACCAAGAACTGCTGCCTTATCATTGCTTTACCAGAAATCCCAAATAAACCTCATTAACCTTTCTCTTATCTCATTTCCTTAAACAGATACAAACTAGATACCTATCAGGAACAGCCAGAAATACAGCTTTAATGGTTACTAATAACATTAGAATATGTTAGTTTAATAAAAATAGACCCTTGTCTTCATTCATTTCTCTTCACCCCTAGAAAGAGGTGGCTGTGTAGACTTGCTTGACATGTGATGCTGACAGTGTACCAAAATGGGGTCTTCCCAAGCCACAGCCAAAACCTTAAAAAGCAGGCAATATAGTCCTCAGGTAGCGCTTCAAGTTTGCGTTCACTTACCAAATTGCCTATGTAAAGCATGTGGTCAAACTCTTTTGTCATTTTGTAATGCTCCAAGGCCATGAAGAGCGTGTTCAGCACAATGCAAAGGGTGATGGTGAGGTCGGTAAATGGGTCCATTACCACGAACTTGACGAATTTCTTGATTAAAAGCCAAAGTGGGCAGCAATCCCAAATGAGAAATTTAACAGCAAAGTGGTTCCAGCAAGGAGGACACTTCTGGTGTGATTCCTCAAGCTCTAAGTCACAAGCAGTAAAGTAACAATCAATTCACACTGAGTTATACGACAAGAGAACACTTAATATGACTCATAACATAGAGGAAGGCCCCTGAATTACCCCAAACTTTTTTTTAGGATAAAAATATTTCTGTCCTAAGAGGCTGGCAAATTACGCACTTTGGGGTTTTTGCCAGTTGATCTGCACTTAGCAGAGAGTGACCTATTCTGAAAGAAATAACCTTTTAAAAGTGTCACAAGAAAAAAAGGAGAGTCACACTAAATATGCAAAGTCCAGTATTATATATAGGCTCAGATTTTTACTCAGTTTTACGTTTTGGCAAGTTCAAATGGATAAGAATACACTATCTTCATTTAACTTAGATTGGAATATGTTTTTTGCATTTGCAGGTCACATTTTGGAAGCATCTTAAGTAAAACCTTTTGAAGTGGTTAAGAGATGAAGGGGCTTAAATCCAGTATTTAGAGCTGATTTAAGCACTTGAGAGGCAAAGCATCACTGGTTATCAATAGGGTTTCTGTTCTTGATGTGCAGTCCAAAAAGGCATTAAGCAACTGATTTCTTCTGACAGGCCCACATACAAAATCAAGGGGGTGCCTAAGTCAGTTTGAAAACGCTACTAAAGATACAGTGTGCTTTTTAAAGGTGCATTTAAAATATTACCTAAAATACAACTTTCATATGTTCATTTTATTCGAGCACAAAGGAATTGAAATAGCTTCATAAGTACAATTTGCATTAAATGGTGAAAAAGAAAAGCCAAAAAAGACAGTGGATGAATGATAATGATTAGTGAAATTGCTTAATGCTTTCGTTTTCTGATTCTTTATGGGCATGGAATGCTGTATAACGGTTTTAGTCTATATAATTAGAAGCTGCACTGATAACAGGAAAACTTCAGCCAAGGCTGTTATTTCAATCAGTTTATAAACAGCCTCCTTTCCCAAGTCAGGATGCATTCTGTGTGCATTTTTCTTCATAGGACAACAGAACTGCTGTATTAGGTGTCTTCTAGCAAGCTTTCAAAATATCAGATGATGTCCTACATGCACAAGTTTTGCAAAAACTTCTACACTGCTCCAAGATCTCTGGGATACCAACTGGTCCCAAGAAATAACTATGTGTTTCCAGCCTCCAAACAGAGGGTTTACAGGTAAGTACCTAAAATGATGTGAGAACCATCCATACCCCCAAAAGATTTCAATGCAAATTCCTAATTTTATGGGGTTTTTGGTAACCCACCTCTGAAAGTAATAAAGATTTTAGGCAGTCACTTCCTAAGGGATCTAATTTTCCAAGTAAATCCAGAACACATCTGTCTATATCCATACTCCTCACAATCACTTCTAACCCACCCTGCTTATGCCACTGCTATTAATTTGGGGACCTTCATGATGGACACACATCAGATGAGTGACTCCTTTCCCTGAGGCTCCATGCTTTTTACAAGCCCCTTTAAGTCCAGTTGTTGCTAAAAGGGGGAAGTTTCATCCCTGTCAGCCTCAGCCACATGTTATTTCTCTGTCCTTTTGCCAGCTTTTGTGCTCCTGGACCTTCTGTGTGAGCTGGTTCTGCTTGTCAATCCAGCTGAAAACCAATTGTACAGTCAAATCAAACTGCAGGAACACAGCAAGGGAAGGAAGAAGGTTACTGCAGGAGACCATGAAAAGAAAGAGAGAAAGAAGTAGAATTTTGTGGTTTCATGCTGGGCTGTCTCCGAAAAGCTAGGTCCCGTCCCTTTCTGTAAGGCATCTCCCAAGTAAGTACCTCTATCTTGCCTTGCCTTCCTACTCATCAGTAACACAGAAAATAAGGCTACAGGAGAATCCAAGATTTCCCTTGCTCCACACTGCATTCTTGACAGACATTTTTCTATACTTTTAGTTGCTACCTTCTACCTTGTGTCAATTTACAGTGTAGAAGACACGAGGAACTCTAAGAAGCCCGTTCATGCTGTGCGTAAAGAGCCTAGAAGTGTGACTCATTTTGCTATGAGTTGTTTCCTTGCTATCAAATTTGTGAAAGGGAAGTGCAAACTTCCCATGTATGGAAAGACAGGGAAGGGAAATCCTCCTGCACCTAATGAGCAATGGAAAAATTTGCTGAGAAATATTTGCATGGACAAATGGGTCCTTTGAGCGTCCTTGAATCTCATGGTGGGATTCAAACACCCACCAAAATGTTGTGTCGCAATAGCTGCTCTTCAAGGAGACTTTCCTCCCCCACAACTTGGAAGTTCTGCAACTAACTGGTGACTGCACATGCCAGACTTTGCATCTGCTTCAGAGAGATGAGATATAAAGCTATGTACAGCCACCCAGTCTGGTGTTCCACTATCCTGCATCTTGGTTAGTCCTGTGTAAATCAATTGTCATAGGGGCACAAAATCTTTCCAGATCCAGTTTGGATCATATGGCAAACATTTTGTCAGGGTTTTCAGAAGTCGATGGGTAAGATAGTGATTATATCCTTCTGTTATAGCATTGCCCCCCTTACAGGGGTTGCAATAACTGTCTACAATGCCTTCTTGCAAAACAACAAGGGTTTAATATTAGTTTTTTTTGTGTCACTTTGTTCCTGCCAATCAACACGTATATGGTTTTGAGATGAGGAAATAAAGACATATTTTACCTTCCAGGGCACTGGTGATGATGCTGACAGCGCTCACTGCCCTCTGCCTCTGAAAGGGTTCGTCTGAGTGGTCCACCGATGGGCAGTGGGGCATTAAAAGCTGCTTCTTGCTTGCCTCATCTGAGGGAGAGGTCTGTTTAAATGAACACATTGGATCAGCAGAATAAAACCAAGGCAGATGTGGGGTAGCATTTTCAAAATTGCCTAAGCACTATTTTTCCCATTTGAAAAGTCCGAAGCTCACTGATTTTCCAATTAGACACATGCTGATGGGGTACTGCTTTTGAAAATCGCACTTTGAGCAGTTTTGGAAACTTTGCCCTGCCCTTTACCTTCATGTAACAGGAAAGATGCAGGTGAAAATAAAGGGAAGCTTCTGATGCCAGAGAGACAGCAATGTTGCTTTACCGTGCTCTTTGCTTGTGAAAGAACGCCTGCTTAATTACATTAATTATTCCATTATTTCTGAAAGGTGTTAACTGTTTAATTATACTGCTAGAAGAGGGAAAGGGGCGTGGGTAACAGCTCCATTACAGGCCTCTGATATCATACCAGGCAAACTGACTCCTCAACACATGTTTTTTCTTGTTCTGAAACACTGCCAAATCTCGGGAACATATTGTCATTCTGGTGATCTTTGGTGTCATGGATTCTGAAGCTCTGTAATTAGGGGACAATCTCAGCTTCTTTTTTCTCAGGAAAAATAAGAAAATAACCCAAACTCTCTCATTCTCATGTTTCTCAAGGAAAAGCTTAAAAAAACCCAACAAACAAATAAACGAAATACCAGAAAAAGAGAACTCCTAAACAGTCTTTATTTAATGTTTCATGTTAAATTAGTTTTATGCTTCTTGAAGGCTTGAGTTCCTGAAGTCAGCCTGAAACACAGCATAGCTGCAGACACACACTGTATTGAATACTTTATATCGTCAGCCCACAGGAGCAAGATGTTAAGACTTTTATTATTATGAGCTTCCACTTCATATAGAGACAACTCCAGCTTGTTTTACTCCTCTAGCTCTGCCACAGGTAGAAGGAAAGTTGGTGGCTGAGGTGTTAAGGATCTGGGAAAGCCAGGTTCAACATCACTCTCTGTCACAGACCTCCTGGTCGAGACACTCAGTCTCCCAAAATAAATGTTTTAACAGCACCTGTCCTGCTCCTTTGAGCATACAGGCTATGAAGTCCGAGGTGTATGTAAGCAAGAGAGATGCGCTGTAGATGGGTCCTGATGGCTCGTCCAGTATAGCTCAAGGAAATGTGAAAGGAGAAGAAATCCCTAGGAAGATGATAACCCTTGATTTATACAGATGTCAGAGAAGATGTTTTTGCTTCTCCATACTCAAATGAGCTACAGGAATCAGATTCAGTCTTCTGGATCTTCTCATCACATCAGTCTGAAATGGCCCTAAGCACCCCAAGCAGTGCCCAGGATGCCAACAGAGACATGCCATGGGCAGCGGCTCCACAGCTCTGTCGTCTGTGCCTGGGGCATGCACCCAGAGGGACTCAGGATCCCTCCTCTTCGCCATTTCTCTGCCAAAACTGCTCTTCAAGAAAGGCAATTCTGTGAGAACAGCAGGAAAAAAGCACTGAAGCTCTACAGGTTGTCTCTCTGTAGTGTGACCTCTTCAGGACAGGGGACATCCCCTTGGAAGATGGTTGCAAAAGACAAAGATGCTTGGCCGCTGGTTGATACTGAAAATAATAACCAGGATACTGGTCCCAGGTCACTTCAAAGTACTGCAGTTAAAAATACCAATCACTGCAGAGAAGAGTAAGGACTTTCAAAGCAAGCACTTAAGACATTAGCTAAGCCAGGAAAGTAACAATGTTTCAAAAGGGATTTTTTGTTTTCTAAAATGTTCTCTTTTTTTGTTGAAACAATTGGCTCATTGTCTGTTGAGTTACTCACACAGTCATCTCAACAGGAGAGGTGTAATCAGAACCCATTCAGAGAGACTCCTACTTGTGCACAATGTAACAAAAAAACACTTGGCTTAGGAGCTGGGGAAACTAGGAACAGTATTTCAGATGCATTAGTTCGCTTGGTTCCCTTCACCTCAAAAACATCTAATAAAAACCAAAGAAACAACAAATGTTTTATTAATGAAGAAAGCATCTACAAAATTGCATAATCATTCGCACCAGTTTGCAGTACATAACAAATGCATGGGACCGAAAAGAAATAACTAGACAAGCAGATAAAAAACACGAGGGAGATAAATTTCTAAGTAGAAAAAAAAAAAAAAGTAAAAACAAAGAAAAATGAAAAGAAGCCAAATAAAACCCCAACCCTTCCAGTTCCCCCTGTCTGTAGAATGGGCCACAAGAAAACTTCAAATATCAAATTCCTCTGGATCATCTAACTCTTTTTAAACTGTACCATCTTCCCATCCCCTCTGACCCAGTGTTTAGGACATACCAGCAACTTGTCTTTAGGCATAGTCATCCCCAGAAGTACCAGTTTTCTGACTGTCAAGAAAGAAACTATATTCCTATTCGTGCATGCAGAAGTGCTTTTGCAGATATTATGTGTTGGTGGCCTTTATCAGAAAGCCACCTTTTACTCACAGGTGCAAACAGAATACACTACAGAGGTAAAAAGTTGAAGGAAAAACATTAAAAACATTCAGAGATTCATTCTTCCTATTTTTGATTGAGATAAACTAGGGTAAATGAAAAGCCCAAGTTAAACAGGTTTGGCATATCCTTCATAAAAAAAAAATAGCAGGGAACTGATGTTTTCCCTAGGTTTGACGTGATGTTCCCAACCCAACAAGTTTTTTAAGTCACTCTATTTTGCTTTGGAGCCCAGCATCCTCCATCCTGCCACTTGCGTCATGAGAAACGGTCCCCAAGACTCGAGGAGTCAAGGGGACTGTCTGCAGCGTGCCATCCTCCACGTGCAAAGAGGTATTTCTGAAGGAGACGTGCACGGCTCCTTCCTTCCTTCGTCTCTGGAGAGGTGAGGTGGTGCAGTTTGCTGCTTGGCCCACATTCAGAGCAAATGCTGCTGCACATGAGAGCTGCCCAGCTGCATGTGCCCCTGCTGGAGGGCAGAGCCTGAAGCCCACTACTGCCTGCCAGATGCTCGGCAGCGGGTACACAGCAGAGGTTCATCCCCAGAGCCACGACACAGTGTCTGGCAGGCAGTGATGGGGCATAAGGAATACTCCTGTGGTCTTGCAGGGGGATGTGGTCTCTTTACCAACAGAGCAGTAAATCTATCACATGGTCAGGTTGCCATTTACTAGAAAGAAAGTTGCCATTTACTTTTTTGGGAAAGAAAATTTCTATCCAGGTGAACTGCTCAAAATTACTGAAGTTACTTAGGGAAGTTTATGAGCTTTTGTTCTTTAAAAAGAATAGATATGTGAGGGGTTGTTTTAATTATTTGTTTTAGAACAGAGACAGCTAATAGTCAGGCAAGGAACTGGCAGGTTTTGCACTCTGAGATAGAGCGCAGCTCCAGGAACTGGACAAACAAGGCAGCATAAGGCTATTATCATTACAGAGAGAATATACACAGGCACAGTTGTTCATCACACTTATATTTCTATAGAAATTAAGCAAAAATAACAACAGTCCCTACAGTTATGCAAGGAGTCTCCTTAGGATGCAGATGAGAAATCACAATGGAGTTAAACACAGGCACCTCCAGCAGGACAAGATTATTTGTGTTGCTCCCTGATTGACTGGAAACGTTTCTCCTTTGGATTAGCTAAATTCTATAGGGACAAATATACTATTCAGTAATTTACATGTAAATGAGGATGCATAACACTGCAGAATTATTTTCTTCTGAGTGCCTACAGTTCTGAGCTATATCAAAACTGTTATGTGAAGATGGGCTTATACATGGCAGCATTTTAAAGACCACATTTGGGAACTGGGACAGGTTTAATTTTCCTTGTACAGTAAAAATCTTTTCAAGCATAAAAAAAAGGTGGACAGGCCACACCATGAACAATGGCCCCAGTAAGGCACTAGCACAAATATTTAATGAGATTGAAGGTGACCAAAATATCACACAGCACTAAAAAGAAGCCATTTAATTTTTTGGATACTCGATTATTTAAAGAGACACACTGTACACTGGAGCAGCTTGCAATATTTGTGTCAAACCTGCATGATTTATGCTTAGGACATGCCAAAGCAAAGTTTGAAATGAGCAGAAACTAGAGCCGCGCTGACAACTCTCCGTGCGACAGCAGCGGAAGTCTGACTAGCTTTCCTCCATGTAACTTCTTGGTGGTGATTTTTGGATGAGTTACTTATTTTGTTGACCTTTTTTCTGAACATGGAAACTGCTAACAGTTCCCCCTTTCACCAGTCCTGTGGCAAAGCAAGAAGGGGAAAAAAAAAGAAATTCTACCTCGAGGTGGGTTTAGGGTCAACAATAAATCCTCAAACCAATGTGGTCAGCAAAACAGTTTTATGCTTAGTGGCAACAAAAGCCAAGGTCTCTTTTTTTCTTCTTCTTCTTCTTCTTTTTTTAATAAAAAAGACCAAAAAAAAAGTTTATCTAAAGTTAAGCTTCTAAATCCTTAGTTTGGCACCTCAATAAGCAGCCTGGCCTTTCTTAAGGGCTCACTCCCCACTAGTTTCACTCCTACCAAGCAGGCAATACTCAGCATTTCTAGTTTTCGAAAAGAAAAAGCGTATGTGCAACGAAGAGGAAATTCAGGAAGGGTTGTATGTGCAAGAAGGAGACCCCAGGTAGCTCCAACTTCTGCATTGTTACCCGTCCCAAAGCCATGTCATGGGTGGCCCTGCTTTCCTCCTGGGCTGATGGGAAGCTCTGGTGAGTAGGTGCCCCAGGGAAAGTAAAGCAGTGGGGACCACTAGCTAACAGCCAGCTGCCCACTTGCAAACAGCCACCTCCCCAGTCTTGTGTCCATTTTTCTGCCACTTCTAATCTCCAAAATAATTGGAAAGTCAGGCTAAACTAAAAACCTTGTGATGTCCCTGCAGAGTTCCAGAAAAGGCTCCAGCTGGCTTTAGGAGGCAAGAGGGGGTATTTGTCATGTGTAGAAATTCTTGAGAACCACAGGTGACATCTTACTCACCCTTATCAGATCCCATGGATAAACTGAGCTCCAGATAACAGCTCATTAACTTAATCCGATTCTGTTCAAACAGATCAATAGCTTGTGAAGGGAGATGTTATTCTAACCTCTTAACTAAGAAACAAAAGACACAACAGAGCAATACACAGCTACAACCAAATACTACAGGAATGTGCAGAAACTTTATGTTGTAGTGTACCCTGAAGTTACTTACATAATGTATAAACTTTCTCTAAAAAAGGTGAAAGACCAAACTCCCAGCTCAGCAATCAGCAGGAGCATAAAAACGTACCATTTTTCAAACCTCTCAGTCTCAGGTCAAGCTAAAAAAATTAGGACATTAAGCATAGTCACCAGGTCCTGCTTGTATCTTATTTACGCTGGGGCAAGTTTGATGAAATCAGCAGTTGCACTACGTGAAGAAAGCTGGTAGGGGAACAGGGGCAGACCTGATTCAAGTCCTCTGCAGCATACACTGGAGATTTCCATGAGAGTGCCTAGGACTTAGCAGGGGTTTCTTGGGACAAGCTCCCTGCACCCCTCGGACTTGAACGCCTGTTGCTTTTCACATCCAGATGAAGACTGCCTGACCCAGAGCCACCTTTGTGGATGACCTTTGCAGATCATACTTTCATATTGCACTGCTTTGCTCTTCATATGACCTCAGCAGGCTTTCTAGCTTGAACACAGCTGCGTAACCCTCTGTGCTGCCAAAGGCAGCTCCCCAACAACACTGCCAACACTCCTTGTGGGTGCTCTTATGAGGCGTGGGAACATCAATGGGTGTAACAAAGTGTGCAGAGATGCATGGGTTCCCTGCAGAGGACAGGATGCCCCTTCTCTTGCTCAGGCTGTGCACTTGATGACTTGGCAGGACTGCTTTGATGCAGAAGACTGCACAGACAGACTTGGTTTCTTGTGGAAACAGACTCACATCCATCTGCCATGCAGCCAGGGCCATCTGAAGAGCATTTGAAACTCTTTTTGGTTTAGCTTATGTGCTCCTCGGCAGCCAGGTGTCAGGAGATCACTCAGATGAGTCACCAGCCTGAATAGTGGGATAATCTGCTGCAGCCACCTCTCTCATAGGAGAAGGCACAAGTTGCACAGATGCCTTCATGTCAGCTCAGCTGCTACCTGCAGCCATTCCTCTGGGCAAACAGCCCTTGGCTGGGACAGTAGGTAGCAGTTGCAATGGCACAGGGGCATGAAAGTTGTTCATCATGGTCCCAAAAACTTTGCCTGGGGTAAAATCTTCAGACTGAATGTGCTAAAACTGATCACGCTAAAATTCTCAACAGTGGCTAGTGACTTTTTGTGCTTTCCCTGAGAAACCCTAGGGAGGCCCAGTTTGAAATCATCTCCTGAAACTATGATCTGCTTATGGGCTGCTGGTTGGAAACACAAAACCAGAGACAGTCAGACCTTGTTTGATGTTTACGCTGCCCTTTAAATCAGAAGCGCTCTTCCAAGCTTTCCCCAAATCAGAATTAAGGGGTGTCCCCACTCAGTAGCAGTCAGACAGGTCTGTGTTACGCTCATCTGATAATACTGAGCATCACAGAGGGACCTGAACAAATGCATCTCAAAACCTAATGCTGTAAAATGTGTTTTGCCAGCTCCATCAACTCAGTTGTTATGTTTACATGAGTGAAGCCACATTTACACCTCAGGAAGTTGCATGTCAGGGCTTAACACATATTATAGCGATACCTTTTCATGGACTGGTCCTTTGTTTCTTGTTCGGGGAAGACAGAACAGATAGCACGAGTGGGTCCTTTTTCACCATGGGCTTACACTTGACAGAATACACAACAGCGGCAGGCTCAGTGGGGTTAATGAGGTAACTTCAACTCCACCCTGCAACGTTTTTCTTTTGCTTCCCCCAAACATATCAAGAGACTATAAAAAGAAGCCAGAGCTGCTAACGAAGAACAAAGCAACTTCAAATTTTAACGAGACAAAGGCGAAAATAATCCAACACCAAGCCCAGAAGTGTGTTGATTTATCTCTGAGCACACTGAGGTGTTGAATTTGCTATTTCCTTTTGCCTGTGCTCCACAGCTGAGGCTGCACGTTTATGCCCGGCGCTTATGGTTCCTGTAGTGAATGTATCTGTACAGCAATGGGCTTCTTGCCAACTACCTTTTAACTCCAGTTCACATTTTCTGGATAGATTAGATACCAAACCTGTTTTGCAGAAGACACAACATCCTTCACATTGCATCACTGAGTGAGCATCTGTTACTATAGTGCCTGGGTGTTATTTCCTAGATGATCAGGGAACTGTCAAGTGAGCTCACCCACCCGGGCCATTCAATTTTCAACATCCATTTTTTTAAAAGGCAGGAAGCTGGCAAACAAAAAGAAACGCCAGCAGAGCTCAAAGCCCTGTCACCTCAGGGCCCAATCCTGTAAAATACCAATATTTCCTGTGAAAGGTTGAGTGCTCTCATGCTTTGTTAAGCTTTTTCTGACAGCTGGGAGAGCCTCAGCAGCCTGCAGAGCTGCTTTCCTTACGGAGAAAAGGGGAACATCCACTGCTCATCTACTGAGGCCTTTCTGCTTTGTTTCAGATTTTTTTTTTTTTAAAAAAACAGATACACAAGCTTTCTTACATAGTTCCTTTAATGCACAGCTCTTTTTTTCCGCCAAGCTAAGTCCAATAAAACTCCCCTACCTACAAATATTGTTTCTATTGCTCAGCTGTCTAGAGGCTGCTCTTAGGACTGGTCTTCCTTGTCTGCAGAGAGTAAAAATGGGAGTACCAAAGTCCTAAATGAACGAAGGTGTGAACATCTGAAAAAGCAGCAACAGCCTTAAAACTGTCAACAAAACAGATAATTCTCACACCAACCAGCTTCCCACGCGCAGCATGGCCCCTCCTTTCATGTACAGTGTGAGAGTCTATTTGCAGGACTACAGGGAATGCCTGGATAGGTGAGGAAAAAAATTCAGCCCAAAGCTTGAAAGGGAAGAATCTGCCTGGCTCTAAAGAAAAAAAGCTACTTCTCAATTTACGGATAATCTGACACCATGGCTGGGATCCGTCTCACTCGCCTTTCTCTTCAGGAAATACCTTGCCTACTACATGTTAGAATCACATTTGCTTGTTTCCCCACACATGTAACCTGGTTTCGGCACCTTGTTACTCTGAGTGGGCTTCATCTCACCTGACTTAAGATACGTGCAATATAGAGCTATTCACCTTGGCCTCGCCTTGTAGTTAAAGCAAACAGAAAGAGGCACTTTCAGGGAGAGAGATTATTCTGACCCATTTTTGATCTCTAAGATGAAATAAATCCTGCCCACACTGAAGGTAGTGACTAGACCTCTGTTGCTTTAAAGACTGTTGAGAGTGATGAGCTCCAATGAAGATTATCTACACTAAAAGAGAAGAATTACCACCATATCAAACTGGCAACCTGTCCAATTTGCCCTACCTGTGTAGCACCTATGTCTGAAATGCCATCTTATGGTTTTCTAAGTTAATTAATTCTTGGGTCCTAATGATATCAGTCTTAATAGTTTTATTTACAGCCATATTAAATATTTTGCAGCAGTGGTGCTTAGCAGCAAAGATCCTGGCAATCTGTAAAAGGCTTGAAGTCTGTTGATCATCTGTTCATCTTTCCTGGATGTATTTGAACTGGATGCTAAACCCTTTTGAGAACTACCTTTGGACTGTAAAAACAGCCGTCCACAAGCTATACAGAAGACCAGAGGTCAGATGCAAACAAATAGCAACCAGTGGGAGAAAATGCAGTCTGAAGATGGTAAGACTTACACCAAATCATTTTAATGACATCATTTTCTAGCCACCAGACAATGTCAGATATTCAAATGTCAAAAGAAACCAACTTAAGAAATGTCCCTACAAGAAAATAAAATTCATATCAAACCCAAGATTTATTTGCCTCCAGCCAACTCTGAAGAGTAAGTCTTACCAGGAGTCATGAACCTCTCTTACGCAGCACTAGATACAAGTTGCTGTGTGACTTCACCCATTGTCTTCCCACCCTGCCTAGGACGGTGGGTCTGGGTTTCTCACTGCAGACTTCATATCACGTAAATAAATTACAGCAAACTCCAACAACATTTAGAAGGAAACAAGAGCATGAATCACATACAAAAGTTATAAAGTACTCACCAGGTCTCCTGTCCCAGGTTTTTCCATAATAACTGGGGGGAGCAGTAACCCTGCAGGAGAAGTAGGGTCTGGGTTGAGTGCCCCGATGCCTCCTCCTATCAGGGAAACCACACCATTGCAATCCACTGAGCTGTTCCTTTTGCCCGTCTGGGTGTAGTTGGGAGTAGTAGGGTGAGAACTATGGCTCACTTGACTTTGCACGCTTGGACGCCTCCCAGATCTTGGAATTAAGAGAGAGCCCCGGTGGCTTTCATTTTCCCCAGCAGTGCTGATCTCATCATCGGCAAAATCTGTTTCGGAGCCAGTGTCTCTGCCACGGAGTCGGAAACTGAATATGCTTCCGTGGCTGGTTCTGCGCTTCACCAAGTTTGCACTGGGACCATAACTAATGCCAAGGAGAGTCTAGAAACCCCCAGAAAGGAAAAAGGGGAAAGAGAAACAACATTTTGCAACATGTTTTCAGGAGCGAGGAAGGTCTGGGGAGAGCAGTAAGTTCCATTTTAAATCAAGTGCTTCAGAGAAAGACTTAATTACACGTATTCAACCTTCGCAAAGTTAAGAGGTTGAATAGTCATTCCTAGCCATTAGGTATTTGTCTAATACTTGACAGTTAAAGATGTACTGAAATAGGAAGGGTCAAGGTGGCATTCACCTTGTTTCATGATACTTCCGTTGCTTCTACTCCCCCCCCCCCCCCCCCCCCACCCCGTCTGATAAGTGCCAAAGGACCTGGGAAGGCAGCAGAAGGAGTGGAAGACAGGAGCAGGGAAGGGGATCCAGCTCCAGTTCACCGCACTATCACACATCTTCATAACAGCTAGGGAAGGAACGTTGCAGTGGGAGAAGAAGAGATAAAGAAATAGGGCAGGAAATGAACTTCAGGGAAAATGAGAAGAAGAGGGAAGAAGAAGTAGCAGAATACGACGGAAGAAGGTGATAAAGGAAAAAAAAAACAAGAGCAAGAAGAGGGATATGGTTTATTAGTTTGTAAAATGATTATCCCAACGCACATGGCTGCTTTAAGGGGTGGGTAGCCTCAGTACACAGCATTCTCCCTCACAATCAAATATCAGCCTTGACGATCAGCTCTGAGGTGAGCTAGTGAGAGTGCAAATCTGACAGAGCATCAGCAAGATGTAGCCAAGGACTAAACACACCTAAATTCTGGTAGAGTAAAAAGGATGTCCAGAAAATGTGTATGGAATTCAAGTCTATCCCCTTTCCTCATATCTGAAGAGGAAATTATTGGAGTAAGAGAATTTAGGCAGAACATGCATTTGATTTTATGGCCTGTACAGAATTTTCAGCTTCTTCAGAACTTTCTCATGAGCCAAGTATATACGAAGAGAGGTCAGATCTCCACAGCATCCACACACCAGAAAAAACAAATGAAGCCTGATTTCACTTCACGCTGTAGCTTACACCACTGAGTTACGTAATGATGCTATTTTGTGACACAGGTGCAAGGACGAGTACAAAAACCAGGCCCCTTCTAACTAAAAACAACCCGTTTGGATTGCTACCAAATTTTAACTGGTCAAAAATCCATGCCTGGGTTTCCATGGCACAGTCATTGAGACTGATTTCTGATGGCAACACTTTTCCAGCTGCTCAGATTGCATCTGAATGATGACTCAGCCTTACTCCCTCCAACCATGCCAGACACAGCCTTGCAGAGAAGATTTACTATAAGCTTTGAAATGTGTCTCCCATGTTTCTCATGCATATGACATCCAGGGGCGAAAAGTGAAAACAATAAATATTAATCTTAGGAAAAAATGTCAGTATACAGCTCCAATCCATGGTCATTCTGGTACGTGATGTCTTGAAACTCATCCAGAATGATACTAAAGAGCAATTCTGGCTTTAACAAAGGTGTTATTTGTAACACAATCCACTCAAACAATGAGACAACAACAAAAATATTTTTAGATTAAAAAATGCATGTCATTTACAGAAATCCAGCTCTGTGTAAATTTTGTGAGCTGGGGAGTCATTAATTGGTCACATTTACTTACATCACTTGCATGTTTTCTATGAGCTTTTTATGGCTGCCAAATATCCCTAAATTCACTGACAACAAAATATATAAAGACTTAGCCCATTACATGGCTATTCAAAACAACAAAATAAACTGATTTAAACTTTGCCCTCAGTTAAGCAAAGACAAATTGTCTGAAGCTATTTATGATCATTTGATACACACAGCAGTGCAGATTCATATTCATGCATGTCAGTAACATTTACATAAAACCCTATTTACAACAGTCTCACTCTATTTTTTTCCCTGCAACAGAAAGTGGAAACAAGTACCACAAAGTTTTGACTTGAAGGCAACTAGCAAAGGAATATAAAAATGTTAATAATGTCTTTGTATAGCATTTAAGAAGCCCTCAGAGACAAGTTTCTTCCTTTTCTCCTCCTCTTTTCTTTTTACGCTTTGCAGGTTTCTTCTAAGAATTTTTTATCTCTAGTAGGGATAGGATCGATATAATCAGATGAATTAAATTAAAGTAAGAAAATAAACCACATGTGGGTAATCTTGAAGCAAAAAAAAAAAAAGGCAAAAAAAATTGAAACAAAATAGATTCGTAAGAATGTTTAATGGGCGTTTTTAATTAATTTTGAAAATAAAGTGGTAATATGTTTCCTTCCACTGTTCTAACAGACCACTTGCAGGTCAGTCATGATATATAAATATCAGATTCTTCTTTACAGCTGAAAGTTTCAGCTTTAATTGCTTATTCCGAGCCTGGCCTATCCAGCAAAGTGCAGTGTGGTGTAAGTGATGTTTCTGATCACGGCTTACCATTCTCCTCTGACCATCATCGTAGTCGCACTTGGGATTCCTTTGGTCTTCCCCATACTCTTCTGCACCCAAAGATTTCTTTTTCTTTCGCTTGTTTCTTCTTTCCTTGGCATTTTTGGATGCTAAAGGTGACATTTCCAAGGAACTAAGTGACACTGAATCAATTCCTTTAGCAGCCAATGCCTAAAACAGAAGATGGTAGAAGGTGCAAAATTTGTTCTTTGAGTTGAGGATCTGAGTGAGAGCAAATATTTTTCATTTTAAGGTTGTATAGCAGATACAGTAAAAATTTCAGGTGGTCATTAATCATAAAACTATCTCACAGGGCAGGAACTGGTCTTAATCTGTTTCTATCCTCTACCTTTAGCTATAAGAAAATAAACAAGTGAGACAGCTTCCTCGTACTAATGCACTCATGCAATTCTGCCACATAGATCTTATGATGGAGTGCTATGAACGGCTGCATAAAATAATGTGACTTATGTAGAGCTCACACGCAAGATCCTTTGACATTTCACAGGACGAACAGCCTGTGTGCACACACCTATGGGTGTAGACTGTGCACACATCTCTGGAGTAACACTTGTGGTGCCAGAAAACAAATCTCAAACTGGGGAACCTCAGATTAAGCCCCCGCCCTGGACTTCAACCCCTTGAACTAGGAGGACTGAGCAGGAGGGCAGCCAAACTGGCTGCTGGGATGTTCCTCCCCTATCACAGAGGGATGCTAGGAACAGCAGGCAATTCAGCTGGCACGTTTTTGTAAACACTTATCCCAAGTAGCAGCGCAGGCAGCTATGATCAGAAATGCAAAAAGAAAACTGTGGGTTTAACCAGAGATAAGGTGGACTTTGCTTTGCTGCATGCTTCAGTGCTGTGCTGGCTATCTGGTGGGATCGCTGCAGAAGCTGGCTGATAACAGACCAACTGCTAGAAACCCAGCAGCGGCTGAATGCGAAAGTCTGAGCACACAAAACCACAGCCTTGAAAGCAAATGAGCAGCCAGGAGGAAGAATTGATAGGTGCAGGGAGGAAGCCGCTGCCCACAGCAGCAAACTGGGTCCCCATCCCTGGTGCAGGTGGGAGGAGCGAGGGGGCTCTGAGCAGAAACCACGAGGTCAGGTTTGGAGGTGCCAGCGTCTCAGCGGTAGCCACATCAGTGGCCTGGAGACAAGCCCATTTACAGAGCCCCCAGCCGAAATATATAAAGCTAGAGAATTATCAAAAAAAAAAAAAAAAAAGCTTCTCTGGGTTCCCAAGAACAGGAGAAATGGATGAATCCTCAGTGCTATTGTCTGTAAGCCACTAGAATCAAACAGGCAATCAGCTCTCCGCAGCAAAATACTCCCTTCCTCCCACAGGCATCAGTCCAAGGAAAGTGAAGGCACTTAACAGTCGTGTAAAGGATCAATCATGTATTTCAAGGAGTAGCGGTAGCTCTATCAAGCTGAGAGCACAACAAAACTTAATTCCTGTGGGAAATATCTTTCATGAGCAAGCTGCTTAGAGCAGGGAGGAGGAGGGCTCAGACACTGGTCTAGGCTTTTCTTTTTATTTTTTTGAGTCAATTGATTTAATTGCTATGCTGAAGTGCTTTCTCTTCATAAAGATTCAGCACGTCTTTTGGTGTTAAGTTCAGGTTTAGGAATGTGTTAGACCAATTGTGTAAATTGACTGATAGTCCCAAAGCAGGCCTATCAATTATATTTGTACTCTCTTTATACTGCACAGTGTAAAAGCTGGTCTAAAGGGTTTCGTTTTTCCTTTCTGATTGCCATCATTTTTTCTTGATCTAGAAAATATTGTAGGTTGTGCTACTAAGCATGCTGTACGCTTAATACAAAATAAACTAATTTTCAGTTTCTTAGCCTTTTCTTACCTATTGCTTGGGTTAAGTTGCTTCTGCCCTGCATACCTTTTCCAGTTACTGAAAAAGGATTTGGACTAAATTGTTTCCCAGGGCATGGAGAAAGTCCCCATGTCTTGCCTATCTACCCTTTCTGGTTGGGTTCCTGTGGCTGGAACATGTCCTGCCCCTGGGGCACTGCAAGCCATAACCCACTGCTGTAACTCCCAGGGGCAGGAAAGGCATGTGGGACCAGACATGTCTGGCAAGGATGGGTAGCGGATGAGGAATAGGAGAAAAGCCTAGCTCACAAAAGCCCTGACATGGGGATTATGCAGGACATAGGATTTGAGGCAAGACCTTAGTGGTACAGTAGGAAAGTCAAAATCAAGATCTTGATAAAGGCTTGGAGAGCAAGATTAAAACTGAGTATCCCTGGCTGGAGCATGGCATGTGAGAAGGACATCTGAAAGCTACACGGTGCAGCCACCCAATTCACTTTCCTGAGTCTCTTCTTCCAGATGACTAATTTGAGATGTCGGGAGTTAATTTGCAGAATTACTGGGCTCCACTAGTGAACATGACGGACCCCAATTCCTCTACTCCTAAGTTTCCAGGAGTATTACAAGTACAAATGAGTATTTTTGAAGCACACTGAGACTGAACAGTGACAAAAGGCACTGAAAAACCTCTGAGGACATTAGTCATTTTGTCTCTGAAGCAGGATTTGAATGCCTGAGTTGCGGAGTTTGCTCAAGCTGGCCTAAGGCTACAGAACAAACGATGAGAAAGTGAAGAGTTGCTCTTGAGTCATGCACTGTCCACCCTTTGTACTGAACAGGGCACAGGAAAAATGAGACATGGTTGGCTGAAGAAAAGACTATGTTATAAAGCATACAGACAAGTGGGAACAATTTAGGCTTTCACGAGAAACCTTCATTTTGACACATTCTGACTTTCAGGGCTTAATGTTCGGGGTTTTTTTGTCCATACAGGCTTAACTGAAATCAAAGTCTTCAAAAGGAAGTTCTTAAATATCTTTAATTATAGCTGGGACTACCAAAGTTGAATGTTATTAGGAAGAGCTCAGCTGGAGTCAAAACACATGAAGATTTGTATAAATTAGGTACGAGTTAGAGCTCCGTTTGCTCCCTTAGGTTATAGCAGAAAGTTACTCTGTTCAAAGTGCCTGTACGTGAACTAAATTGCATTTACCTATTACTTAAACCATCAAAGAGGATCTTTAAAAGGACTTAAATGATGTATAAACCTCTACTAGCACTTTGTCAAGGGTGAATTGCATTTTCTATTTTCTTTCTAAGGATTTAAATGGGCTTTGGATTAGGCCCTGAAGCTACATGTACCTAAAAGAAAATTATGTATATTCGTTTATATTGTGTATAAAGGATTTATTTCTCTGAACTGCAGTGCTACGTGTTATTTCAGACTAATTTTCTTATTGTCTTCTCGTTCACAACGCCTAAAATGTTCTCTTCAGCTGTTTAATGAAGGATTTCTACCCCACACAAACCACATGTGAATTAACTAGCGTTATCAAGGCTATGTGGCTACATCCACCATTTGGCCTCCCTGTTTTGTTTAAACTTCCAACATAACATTAAATCTGTATAATTTGCATAATTTGCAAAGCTTAACCTCATGATGTGCTTGTTTACTTGTTCAGGAATGAAGCTGTATGTGCTTCTCACAGGTTATCCTATGTCTTTATCTTCATTATCAGACAGTTGGATATTCATGGCAGTTTGAATGAGACAGTGAGAAAATGAATGTGAGCTAAAGTGGTGGTGGAAGAAGGTTTAGCTGAGGCTATGGCTGAACTACCAAAACAGCTGCTTTGTGCTCAAATGCAGATGTGGTTATACCATCGTTAAAATGTCTCACATACTCACCAATACAAATTCCTCTGCTGGCATATATGGTACAGTTAAACCAGTACAACTCTAGATACGGAAACCCTAAATGGCTCCATCCTAGCAGGAAAAGCCATCATTTTTCTTTCAAAGAAGAATTGCAATAACTCTGTCCAGGTCAATAAACACTAAGCTTCTTTCAAGCAAACTCTTCTTTTGGTTATCACATAAAGGTGAAATAAAAAGAATCTCAAGGCACCATCTCTTCAAGTTACCCAAGGCTAATCATGTCACATAATTTACTGACCTCCTGCTCTTTCCTTAACATCTCCATGGCTTCCCGAAACTTTCTTTCCTTCTCCTCTGATTCAGCAATAGTGGCTTGGTTCTGCTCTTCATACGCCATGGCCACAACAGCCAGAATCAGGTTGACCAGATAAAATGAGCCCAGAAAGATGACAAGCATAAAAAAAAGCATGTAGATCTTCCCAGCAGATCTGAGAGTCTGTAAGCACAAAGGTAAAATCACTGATACTTCTTTACAATGTTTTTAAAAGAAACAAAATTTTTTCATATATTTTTTTTTAAACTTAGATTTACAATGTGATTGAATTCAGCTTTTGTTAATAGCCCAAACAGAATCCCTTTGATGACAAACAACAACCACGTGCAAGGAAATAATCTTCTTACCAATAAATTTTTATACCTCAGTCAAAATTTATGTGCCTTGCAGTAAAATTCATTTCTAAAAGAAGAATGCTTTCCTCCTTTACCTAGTATCTCCGCTGGTTTGCTTTTAGAATAGATAATCTTACAATCAGTTGCAGTGAAAGTTTCCCCCACATAGCTCAATCTATTTTTGTCCAGCACTTAAAAAATTTCCAAGCAGGATTCATGTTGTATCACTTCAGATGTCTATAGTCTAGGTCCTTTATGGTCAGTGGGGAGAAAAAGATACTTTTAGGGTACAACTCATCTGAACATTATACAGACATCTCCCTTAGGATAACAGCAACCAAAGTTTTAGCGTTGTTGACTGTATTGCCTGGTTCTTTGCTAGATTTATAGGCATAACAGTAGTTTAGGTTAACAGGCTGAGCTTGTATTACAGGTCGTCCCATGGTCAATGACTTGATGCTAGTGATAGAAATCACTGTGTGATATTATAAGGTCAAATAGTGAAAGGGAGCGATGTTCACCCTTATTTGCCGCGAGAGTTTCAGCCTTCCAGGATTGTGCATGCAGCTCTGTGCCAAGTAAGTGAATATAGTTGTTTAAAGAATCTTCCATTTCATTGTTTTACATTTTCCTGAAATTAATTTGTGTAACTGGCTGCATGTGAAGCTGAAATCCCCAATACCTTCAAAGGTACCTTCAGAGTAGTATCTGCCAGCAATAACTCCTTGATTTCCTTAAGAGCATGTTCCAGTTTGGGCAATTTTGAGACATAGAAGTAAATCTTCAGTGGCTTCATGGACAGAGCATGTCCAAACCTTCATATGTAGTTCTTCAGAGCTTGCATACATTTCAGGAAATGAGATTTTACTAGCAGACCACCTTGCACACGTAACTGTATGTTGACTCTGACTCCTTTTGTGCCTCTGGCTGTTAGGCGTCCATGATGAAAAGCTTGCAGCAGGGAGAACTGAAACGGACTAGGTAATCTTGCCATTTGCTGAACATGTGTTCATTATCATGCCTTGCAAAACCAGATATGCCAAGTACGCAGGGGCTTCTCGTGGTTTTTTGAGCTGAACTCAAAAGATTAGTTCATTTTACACTAGTCATCAAAAAATCATTAAGTGGTGATGTGGTAATCTTTCTTAAGTGGTGAACTTCATTTAGATTCAGGCGAATTACCCATTCAAAGTGTCTCTCAGTATCAATTTTCCCACCTTTCCTCAAATACCCAGTCTAATGTCTTCTGGTATCATCACTCCCAAGGAAAGAAATTAATTGAACCAATTGATAGTCCTTCTCCAGAACTGACACAGCACAGTTTACCTAATAACCAGCAATTCTTTCTTGTCTTTAACTATTAGATGTAACAGGTTTATGTGTTTATTTTATATTTTTTAACAGCACTAAAACAATCTCATACCTGTTGATAAAGACGTTCCCAACAATCTTGAGTCATAAGACGGAACAAAGAGAGAAAGGCCCAGCCAAAGGTATCAAAGCTTGTGTAACCGTGGTCAGGATTTTCCCCAGCCTTCAAACATATGTATCCCTCAGGGCACGTGCTGCAAAACAGGGAAAACAACGCATGAAATGCAGCATAGATAACTTCAGCATGGAGAAACTCATTTCCAGGGAAACATATTGAATGCTTTTTTGTTAAGAGCACAGATTCTCAATGGTAAATTCCTTCACTGGGTAAAAACACAGGAAGCAAGTGGATATTAACTTCACAATACCAAAGATCTTTGCAAACTTATTTTACCTTTGAAAGGATAAACTGGAAAATGGTAACCATAGCTTGAGCTGCAATGGCAAATGAGAACCTAGCATTTCAGATATTTGGAATAGACCAGAATTAGGCGCCTAAGCAGGACTTTAGTGCTTAAATATGATTTCTCTTGGCACTTATTCCTAATTAAGAGTCATAAACTTGCTGTTTACAGGTCATACTGTGATGATGAACCTGTTTTCTGGTTACGTAGTCTGACACTGGCTGGATGACACCAGCACGTGCCATCTGAGCACCTTCCCAGTTTCTTATTATGCCTGACCTTGCACTCACACCCTGCAAGGACTAAATCTTTAACATAAGAAACCCAGTCCTTTGTTCCACTTACTATTGTAGTCTGGGGTCATGACATTTTTATTTCTGCCAGGAAAATATTTTCCTCATGTGTCTTGTAGATTCACAGATTAAACGGCAAGCAGGTAGCATGAATTTCACTGACTCTTGTTAAACTTTGAGACTCTTTGCAAGTGATTTTCTAGCCCCATATCCCAGAAGAGAAAAAGAATTGTCTCTGTGGTAAATACTGAACCGCATCATCAAATGAAACACAAGGTAGAAGAGACCTTGGGTCAAGAAGCCACCTTCTCTCCCAGAATGGTGTAATATGATTAGTCAAAAGACCCCATACCTCTTGCATTAACACAAGCTGCTTTCCAAACATAAGCTATGCCCCTTCAGAAGCAGAAGACAGAGCAACGTGCAAAGGCTTACTGCTGTATGTATCATAGGAAGAGAATATGAGATCAAGGATGTTCCCAGTGTCCTGGAGCCCTACAGTATTTGGGAATTTGTTAGGTGGTAACCATCTAACTAGCTGAAGAAGCAGATCTCAGCAGAGCTTGCAGTAATGCCAGCTCTTTCTGTTCTCCTTATGCTCCAGAGAGAGATGAACTTGATATGATTCGGTGCAAGCTCTAGCTGACACAACTAGGGAAGGCTGGAACAAGAGGAATTGTGAAAGCACTTTGTCAGAGATCAGAGACATTGAGAGACCAGCTTCCAGGCAGTGTTTTGATAACAGAGCGATACCCTCTGTCCTGGCAGATGGTGAGCTTGATGTTCTGCCTTCTGATGGAGGAATCCAGGTTTTCTGAACTGCCTTCAGATAGGATGATTATTGTAATATCCAGCCATTTTAGACATGTCACCAGTCATGTAGATTGTGTCCAATGTGTACAGCTTTTCACTTCTTTTTTTCTCCCAGTAAAAACCTATAGAGTGTTTCAATCACTGCTTTTTTTTCCAAAACAGAATACTGCCACAAATTGAAATGCAAAGCAGTAATATATATAATGCAAGGTAATTTTTAAAACGCCACTCAAAAAAGAAATTGACTCCTGAGAAAGCAGAGTGTCTCAGTGTGAAAATCAAGGATGGGGGGGTTTTAAATATCAATTTTCTACTGATATAATTCAAATCTTTACAGCACAGGGTAGCACCCCTGTATTGCAGATTGAGATGAGAAAACATAGCTATACATTTTGGAGTTATATAAAACTATGGTGTCAGCCACCAACATTAGACATTCAACACTTTAAGAAGCTTAATTTAATGTCATTAGCCAAGCACAAATTTTTAAGTAAGTCTGCTTTGAACACTGAAAGAAAGGAGAGCTGAAGCATTGCAAAATGTTTGCATATCCTTGTTTGCAGCAGTCTTCAGAAAAGGCAATAAAAATGAAGAAGAACAGTCGACGTTTAATGAATTAAATGTAACACTGAAGTGAGAATGTAACAAGTGATTCTGTCATCTTAGGTAGAGCCAAGTTAGTTTGCATCAGCTGAGAATTCAGACAATAGTAACTGTATGTCACAAAGAAAGAAAAAGGGAGACACTTCTAATTTTTTTCCCCGTTGGCCTAGAAATGCCTCCTTCCAGATCTTTCCTACTTTGACTACCTATTGTTTCCTGATAAGAGCCACATTTGAATAAAAATTACAATAACATTTCTGAGTTAGAAGAGAATAAAGTGCAGAAATGTCAGCTTCTTTCCCCTAAAATATGCAGATGCACACTGAATCTCTCTTGTATATCCATGTCCTTTTTTGAGGCAGCGTTTTCACTAAACCTCCTCTCTCCCAAAGGCAGCATCTGCTGTCACTCTGCCATAGAGACATGCGATCTCTGCCTCTGATCTGCTGCTGCAGACAGCCTTCAGAGCCCGTGACATGCTGCTGACACTGTTCAAGAGCTCTGAGAAATGGATCCTCTGGGTTCCCGAGAAGGTAACCCTTTCCGCTTGCTTGCTCTAAGACATTGTGTCCAGACAGGACATGTAAATTCTTGTAAGGCTCATTCCTTTTGCCATGAGAAAAAGACTACACTCACACACTCTTGGCTGGAAACTAAGTGATCATGTCCAGAGTGGACAGCCTTTCCTTAGTCTTCCACAGAAGTCCAATCCCAAGTGGCTCCATTGAGCTAGTCTCATGGCTCCTATTTTGATGTTACTACTAATGGCTAAAACATCTGAATACAGCTGTGAGAAACTTGATGGTGATTACTTTAATGGTGAACTTAAGCCTGGGCAGGGCAGTCAGTTTGAAATCAGGTTTTATCTAGAGAATGTTACCTAAAATCTTAGGCAAAATGGAAAATATGCCATTAATTTCAACACTAAGAGAGAGAGAGATTTTCCTCTTAATCTCTTCTCTATTTTGAACAAGAGAGTCTGAAAGAAAGGAGATACTAGGAACATTGCACTTGGATGTATTTTCATAGGAACCTCTCGGCACTGTGAGATTAGAGGTTACAAAGTCACTCTCAGGTTCATTGCCAATGTTTCTTGCTGGTGAAACTCTGTTTTGATGCGGAATAAAATTAGAGCAATTGCTCAAAGCACTTTTTACCACAACTCCTTGGAAAGCCCTAGGACACGAAGATGCAGCTCCTCTGTGAAAGTGAGCAATGGTACCTCAGACAAGTATTTTCTGTTTATAATACAGTTAGTATTTTTTCATGTTTCATTCTGTTTGTATGTGTCTCTAAAGCCTTTTCCACTTAGCAGTAGATTGCTGGTGTGAAAAGATCTGTCTGACTCTGCAGTGAGTGTACAAGTTTCTCTAATATTATGTTCAGGTGTAAGAGCTTTCAAACAAGGTGTCTTCAGCACAAAAAGCATGAACTCCATCTCAAAAATGCTATTAATGTTTGCTCACATCCTTCTTACAGAAACTAGACACTTGAGATAAAATATCCTACTTTTCAACTCCTTATTCTTGCTCACCCTCTTTTGTAGCCAATGGAAGCGATAACCCATGGGGTATGGGAATGTATCAAAAACACTGAAAGGAAAACAAATTACTGGTTCCCAGAAAAACACTCTACAGAAATTTAGGTGTAAGACTCTCACATGAGAATATTATTCTGTAATTGACACCATTTCCTCTGAGGATTTTTTAAGGAGGCTCAAGATATTGCTGAAGTGCCTTCAATGTATAATATTAAGCTTTCTCTTTCAGGTTTTTAGCAGACTCTTTAGCTTCTTTTACCTCGAGGAAGCATTTCACAGGATTGCACTCTCCTCTGATGCAGAGGGATGGGCAACAACAACAAGCTACCTAAATGTAACATCCTCCACAGGAGCCTCACAGGATGCTGTTCAATTGATCACAATAAAATTAGTGTCATTGATTCAGAAAAGTTAAAAGCATCAGTCTACCTACCTATCCATCAGGCTGTAATCACCATTGTAAGCTGGCATTGGTACAGGAAATTAAAGAACATAAGAAACAGCTTCATTTTAAATAACACAGATTGGGGATGCCAGAGAGCTGTAGCTGAGGGGCATAATTACAAAATGCTCTATCTCACGAGTTTAATCTAGGCAAGCCAAGTAACCTGCTGATCCAGACTGTAGTGGCCAATAGAGCTGTGCAATAAAAGAAGATTTGTAAAGCAACCACGTGCTGGATTTTAACATTCAGACCCTGAAAATACAGAGAGGGTTGTCCATGTGTTACCAGGAGTTAGCATCAAACAGCTGCTTATGTCGGCTACAACATCTGTAAGGTAAAGGCTGCACTGTCGTTTGGTTTAGGTTGCAAAGACACACTATGGCTGGCTACACCAAATTGCTTATGAAAGAAGCAATAATGGGAGATAAAGTGCAAATCACAGACACACCAAAAATTAAAAAACTAAACCCATGTTGTAGTAAGGGCCACTTAGTGTTCCTGCTTAGGTCACAGCTTAAGCCCAAGAATGCAGAAACCAAACTGAAATGTTTAAAGTTAACATCTTTGACACATGGCTAATTCCAGAGTAATGGAAACCACCCTGGTGAGCACGGTGGGGTTTCAAAGCCTGGCAGTAAGAGCTGGAAGGACAGACGGTGTCCATGGCCTCCAAGGCTTGTTGGTGTGCACGGTAGAGTCTTCCTCAGCGTGCATCTTCGTGCTCAAGTCCTCAGGCCACAAAAGAGAGGCTTAGATCTCCTTTAGGTCACAGGCCTGAGTGTTTTTCTCTGCACTTTCCATGTTTTCTCACTTCCCTTGCCTTTGAGGCAAGAGACCAGCAGCCAAACAAGGAGTGCACACTGTGCAGTGGTTGTGGGGGACAGACAAAGATCCTTAGGCTAACATTTGCTCCCATTTGACAAGATGAAACTACCCATTCTGAAACAGGGCAACATTTTTGAAAATAGATCTTGTAAGAGCAACTGGGCATATAGAATAAAGGGGCCAAAAGGCAGCAGAAGCCCAGCCAAAGCCAGACATTGCTGTTAGCGGGTGCTCGATCTGCCTGAAAGTCACAGGTCGCTCTCCTTCCCCT